TTATCTGGGAAAATGTTTGAAATCTATTAAGTGTAATTTTGTTCTTGTAGATGTGCTTGTTGTGGATACACGTCTATACACATACATCACTATGTATATAACTTTAGGTTTCAAAAGATGCATCCTTAAGAATCTGGCTTTTGTTTGGATAAAACAGGTTTAATAAACTACCAATGCTTATTTGATAGTAGGCCTTGAAATTACTGGATAAAGTGGCAAAGATGGGGCATGTGAATTTAATATAAAGCAGAAACACAGTTTAAGAGGAAGAAATAAAAGTGCTCTTTAGTGTGAAAACTGACATGAAGACAGAATTCATGGGAACACCACCAGTGAAGTCTTAAGTTTTCTCGGGGAAAACTGCAAGCCTAATTGTGGGTAAAAAACACTGATGGATAATAGTGAGAGATATAGATCAATGTGATGGTAAAATAGCACCACCTTAAAAAACTCTGCTAATCGCTATTGGCAAAAGTATCGCTCAATTGGTTAAACAGTTGTTTTTTACGCCAGCATTTACAACAACACTTTTTCCAATTAAGAGTTAAACGTCTGAAACTTGGTTCATTCTTTTGTTAAACTATCTTGAGATTCTGTCTGTGTAATTTGTACACGAATTGCAAACATCCAGGCGAAGACTGAAAAGAGGCACAAAATGACTGAAGCGGCCAGATATGGAAACTTTTATAGATTAGATATGAACATTTTAAGCAGGATGAAGTCTCTTGACACTGGCTTCCTCATATGCAACAAGAGAGAACTGAACGTCTTTAAGGACTCATCCAGCTGTAAGAGTTTATAATTATCCAAAGGAGACTAGTCATAATGTTAAAAAAGAAGCCATCTTTTTTGCCATTATAACTTGGCTTATTGCATTTGTTAGACAACCTGGACAAAAGCAGCAGAGGGCTGTCAGCATGTGACCAGGATACCTGAGGTCAGCAGGGACCGGATTCTGAGAGCCCCTTGGAAGCCCGTGCTTCGTCACCTGGCCTTAGACTCCGCAAGACTCAGGCAGGGCTCGGCAAAAGCAGTGAAGCACATAAAGGAATTCGACAGCAGAATTTGGGCAGAAGGAAAAACCGCGTGGCATGTCCTCTTAAATGTGTTACGTGTTTGTGAAATTAGAAACCTTTTGCATTAATTTTAAATATTTAATTATTTTAAATTATTTAAATGGTCAATCCAATCTGAATGCTTTAAAATGTATCTTTTCAGTTTACTGGCCTTTGATCTGTAGATACAATAAAGAAATATATTTCTAAAATAAGAAAACAATTACAACTACAGTGTTTTCTACATTAAGTTACACTTAGTCATGTTAAAACTTATGGTGTTATTCGAAAACACAAATATAGAGTTAATAAGTTTTTCTGTAAAGTAATAAGTAATCTTAATTTGACACAATTGCAAGTAACCTTGCTTCCTGAGGCAAAATTCCAGTCCTTGTGTTTATTTAAACACAAAAGGAAAGAAAAATGCTATAATTATGGAACATGCAGTGAAAGCTATGAAGAAGGGTGCACATTTACAACAAGCAATTGTGAATGCAAGCTATTAAGAGGTAATTTTTGAAGAAATATTTAGCGTAATCTCTGTAGACCTGTACACTCAAAGTCCTTCTGAATAGGCTGATATCTAGCACCAGTATAAGGAGTCTGTTTGCTTTTCCCTCATATATCGTATATGATGAGAGCAGGATCAATTTATACTCAGTTTTTGTCCAAGGAATAGATACTACATAAGTTTTAGTATCATACATTTGTGAGTTTTAAATAGACTAGTATATTTTATAGTTTTTAAAATGTGTGCAACTTCTTCATCTTTTTCTCCTATCTAGGTGAACTAAACCAGCCCCTTTTTGATTTCTCTTTCCAAACCATCTTGCCCGCAAGTTGTATAAGTTAGTTACATTATTAATACTTTAATATCAGGTATTCTAAATTCCCTAATTCAGCGATGTCACTGTGCTCAGAACAGAAGGTCAGTCTGATGGTGGTGGCACTGAATTACAGGCCGTGAGCTCCTTGAACATGGGGACTTTAGTGTTTTGTCTTGTTTTGACCATTACATCAACTAGGCATAGCACAGAATAAGTAATCAATAAATATTTGTGAATATTTAAGTATATAATAAGGAGATAAGACTCTAGGTTTTGTGGTAATACAGGTAAGAAACAATGAGATCCTTAACTAAGAAATTAACAGTGGTGAGGGGCCTCACTGAGATATGAAGGAATTAGCTCGACAGGCCTCGGGAAACAATTAAAAAGTTCTTATGTTATGGCTTTTTCCTCCTCGCACTGATACACCTTAAAATGAATGTATGTGTTTAAATGTGTAATTAATATACATGCTCGCATTTGTACATGTTTCTATGGTGCATCTCTCTTGGCAGAACATGGCTAAGCAGCTTCACCATCTAAAAGAGAAATTATATGGAAATGTAATCGTTCATTCCATAAATAGCACAAACAAAAAATATTTGTGAAGTACTGTAATATTAGAAACCAAATCTGAACAAATGAGATAACTAATTATACGGTATGTGTCTGTGTGTGTGTGTGTGTATATATATATACATATATATATATATTTTTTTTTGGTGAGGAATACTGGTCCTGAGCTAACATCTCTTACCAATCCTCCTCTTGTTGCTTGAGGAAGATTGTCCCTGAGCTAACATCTGTGCCAATCTTCCTCTATTTTGTATGTGCGATGCCGCCACAGCATGGCTTGATGAGCAGTGTAGGTCCGCACCCGGGATCTGAACCCGAGAACCCTGGGCTGCTGGAGCCGAGCATGTGAATTTAACCACTATGCCACTGGGCCAGCCCCATCCTTTGTATTAACTCAAAACTTCATTTGTTTTAAAAGTTAGTGAGGAAACTTCAGAAAAGGGCATTAAATTGGTGTAACAGCAAAGAAGTGTTCATGAAGATGGTTTAGAATCGGCAAATGGTTTAATCTTGAATAGTTCACAAGGCTGTGGAAATATGCTACTATCTTAAGAATACAAAATTATGTTTTTAACAAATTTTCTCTAACATTTTATCTACTATATATTAGGCATTGACATAAGAAGTCATCTGGAACTTCTTAATTATTGACTTGAGAAGTCAATAATCAGAGAAATTATTTTACCTGCAAACCCTCTAAGCCTCCCTCTTCCTATTCTGTGCATCCTATCTGGGGACTTCAGGGGCATTTTCCACAGAGAACGAAGTCCCCACTGTAGATACGACTATGTTCTGCTTCAAAGCCGCTTACAGCTGTGTGCACAAAAGGACATTTGAGGTCCTTATTCTCCAAACCAACATGCATCTACAACTTCTGTAATTTTCTTGATGAAACCTTATCTCACAATATTTTCTCCTTGGCAACAAAGTGACCCCAACAAATTAAAGATCACTGATGATTCCTTTCATTTTTTTAACAGAAAATTTCTTTTTATTCAACATATAGAGTGAATATAGGTTTCCATCCTATTTTTCTTCTTCTATCAAAAGCAGGCACACTCACTTAGACCTCACTCTGACTGCACAATAACTGTGGCCAGACTATCTGTCTACAGGTTGACCTGAGAGATTAAATTCACCAACATATAGACTTGTGAACTCAATGGCTTCAGTGTAACAGGGGAACACATTCCCAATAGGTTTTGGCACAAGAACAAACCTGCGCTGCCAATGCCATAGCCACAAGCCACATGTGCCTATTGAGCACTATGAAAAAAGGAGTGCAAAATATCTAACTAAGAGACTATACGTTAAAATGATAATATTTCAGATATATACTGGGTTAAAGGATTAATTTCACCTCTTTAATGTGGCAGTCAGAAAAATTAAAACTTCACATGTGGCTCACATTACATTTCTCTAAGCACTTATACAGATGATATTAAAATTGTTAGGTGTTATTTCTATTACAAATTCTACAAATATAAGAAAATTAAAAAGTAGATTTTTTAGCAGAATCTTACAAAGACACTAAAAATGGGTATGCATACCTGTACGTATTATTCAATTCCAGAAACAAACATCTCATAAACAAATACATAGAGTCAGACTGGAAAGATTGCTAAGGGAAAGCCTTAAGCAGCCTCTGAAGAAGAGGAGAGGTGGGTTACATTAGCATGACTAAGCATTTTTCTTCAGGATTTCTAAAGAGGAAGTATGCACATTTCCAGTGAATGACTTCTAATTGAAAAGAGATAATTATAACCAAGACCATCAATTATAACCAAGTTTACTGGAACAGAAACTTCCATCATAACGGAAAAATTAGCTGATCACAATTAGGAGACAGTGTAATACATAATCATTCAATACATTTGAATTAAAATCAGAATTATTTATCAATCAGTTAAAAGGTGTAAGCAAAATTTTGTGTGTGTATATACGTGCATATATATATAAAATGTGTATTTATTTTTGTAAGGCATCAGGAAATCTATGATGAACATATTTTTTATTGTCAAAATATAATTTAATGCAAAACATGGTCTATATCAAACAGTAGGTTGATTAAAAAATGACTATAGATGCATAAGGGAAGTATTCCACCTAAACAGAATTCTTGTTGTGAGTTTATGGAAGATTGCTGTTAAACCTATAGATATATTTATCAGTGGAACTAACAGGAAAGTGGTCCTCCCCTTTAGATAACTCCCTGGACCTTGGCCTTATCAGCGTACGGAAGGCTCCCTGAGTGGAGTGTAAACAAAAGGACTGAACAGCAATAGAAGGGAAACAGCGGCAGCCAGAAGCAGTTACAAATCGCATCGCGGCATCACCGCAACGACATTCACGGAAATACGTGGATGTGTCCCCTGGGGCTCGGCCGCATCCACGTATCTCTGCATAGACGAGTGCGACAGAGGAAAATGGAGACAGCCAGTAGAGTGAGCGTGGATGAACAGAGCTGTGAGATCACATGACACAAAACAGTGTTGGAAAAAGTCACTGGTACAAATGAAGGAAATTAAGAAAGTCTTTATACCTTTCTCGTTCTGGTGAATGCAAACTAGTGTCTGGTCTCAAGCAGTTGGTACTAGCACTCCTAGCCCTGTCAAGCGAGGGCTGCAGTTCACTAGAGCCAGAGCATTGCATCCAGCGGTAGAAGAGAAAGACAAGGAGACAGAGAGGAAGACCACGTTAGAGAGCAGAGCACACACCGCATCCCCTCCACACAAACGCAGAACCACTGCCACTCAGTCACGGGGGTGAGAGCCGACAAGAGGACAGTGCAAACTCTTGTTTAGAAAAAGAAACTAAACAAAGATTATGCTTGAATTGCTTTGCATAATTTTTTAAAAAGGGTCTCAGACTGAAAAATGAGACTAAATCACACCTACTTTTGGAAAAACTAGGTACAGAAAGCACTAAAACAAAATGCCTAAAACTCCATTACCAAGAACAGATGCCACACCAAAACGAAATGAAGGACATTGGAGGAGAAAAAGTGCACAGCTCAGCTAGTCTGGCTCACAGCACTGGACGGGGAGGTGGAGGGCAGGACTTCCCGGGCTCTTACCTAGCCAGTATCTCCTCAGTACCTCTCAGTACTCCCAGGTAGAGCATTCGTGATGGGGGGAGAGAGCCTGTCTAGTCACTGGTCTGGTTTTAGCATGTGCAGGCAGAATTGAGCTTTGCAAATTAAAATTATCCAAAAATAAATTAACATAAAATTAATTATCACAATTAAAATCAACTAGTAAAACAACAAATAAATGACAGACAACTAAGAATTCTGATATTTGAGCAAGTAGATTTAATTTAGAGAAATACTCTAGAATTCATATGTTTTATAATTAAACCATTTCTAGATACCACTAATGTAATGTTTCTCTGTTTATGATTAATTTCAAGAGGAAATGTTAAAACTTTACTAGAATGTAAACTGGCTATTTTTAACAGGCAAAGGATGAGGGACGCGAGTATCTCTGGGACTCACTGTGACCTTACCTGTACATACTCCAGTGAGAACTGGTCCCTAACAAAGGCATCCTGGGTGGTAGTGTTTTATAGTGCCTAACAAGCTGTCTGGAACGTGGCCACACAAGCAGCAGGAAACAGAAAAATACACATGAGGCAAATTTTACCAGGATATGAAAAATGTAGGAGGCCCATATAAAGCTACAAACCTACATGGAGCTTTTCATTTTTTCTCAGAAGAACCACAGTAATTATTTGAAAGCAGGATTACAATTACTAAAATATGAGACCATAAGCATCTGTCTTCATAATTAAGATAAAGACTCAAAATTTTAATTTAATTGCCTTAATTTGAAAAATATCTGCTAACCAAACTCCATGAATTAACCAATATTTAAATTTACTATTCAATGTCTGATTTAAAATCATACCTGCTCCTATGGAAGTAAAGAACTCATAGCTGAAAGTACTAACTGAATAATTGATGGAATTTGGGAATTAAAATATGAATAAAAGTTAACATTCCAATAACCAGTAAAGAGCTGACCAGCATTACGGGACGAGGTTGGTCACGGTACTGGATTGCGGTAAAGGAAGGAAAGAGCAAGGGACCAACAAGTGATCTAGTGGAGCATGTTCTTCCCTTTAGCAGCTCTGGATCCAAATCCAGTCACCAGGAAATTCACCACTGGAAATCCGGTGAGACGGGCCTCAGGTGCACCAGAAGATGAACTCTGATTCGGCAGAAAATGGCACATCTGTGAGGGCTTCTGGACTGCCCCACACCACCAAGGGCCAACTAGCTCCAGCCAATTGTTAATTTTTGATAATATACTAATGTTTCCATAAATTTAATTGCTGATTATGAAAATCCATTGCTCGTTTTGGCTTACATTAAATTGTGATTAATCGGGAAGGGAACAAACATTTGCTGAGAAGATCCTAATTATACAACACCCAAGGTTCACTCATTTTTATTCTAATGGTCAAGTCAAAGGAAACCTCTTAAGCTTCAGTTTAATAAACGTATTAGAGCACCATGTCCCAGCACGAAGTGAGGACAATTTTACTGAAACAAAGGATTCAGCCTGCTTATAGACAACGGAGTCTTCTTTTCAATCCCTATAGGCAAATATCTTCAGTAACAGGCTGCTCTATAACTTTTCTAAGCAATTGGTTCAAAAGTGATGCTTTTCAGTAACATTCCAACAAGGGACAGAAAGGGACACAGAAAGGAAAATAGCACATAATTCATAGAATGAAGGTCCGAGCTACAGCCTCAGCTTTGCCTCTTATTGGCTGTGAGCCTGGGTAATGCAGGTCACGTCCTTAAGCCTTTTTCTGCACCTAAATAGGGGGGAAATAACAGTACTTAACAGGGATGCTGGGGGATTAAATGAGATAAAGGTGTAAAGCATCCAGGGCCTAGCAAGGCAGCCAGAGCACTTTCTGTACCACACCGCTCTCTCAGGACAGGTTGATGGTTAAATAACGTGCGGGAGATGGATTAAACCAAGTGAAACAGATTTCTTTAGCACGTGACCTTAATACGCTGTGCATATAAATCTCCAGGGAGGGGCTCTAACTTGCAAACTTTCCAAAATCTGTTTGACTCACAAAATTTTTTAATTGGTGGAAGACTGCACAGGACCAACTACTCAGAAAGTATTTTTGGAAAAACTAGTTTAGTGGAAAACATCAAATAGACTTGATTTTGAATCTTTGCTCTATTACCTATCAAATTAAACTTTCTTAGCATCTTTCCTCATCTGTAAAATGAGGATAGCAATATTCATATGATATAAGTTACTGTCAGGAAACTGAGATAAAGTACATTCAATACTTAACACTGCGCTCGGTTCTCAATGAATGTTATTTTCCTGTTTACTGGAAAGTAATAAATCCTCAAATTTTATTCTTAAAAGTTCCAAGTGAATATGATATGCTGTATTTTGAAGATAAGATGGAACGAATGATGAGACTCCTAGTATATCCTGTTGTCCATATCCTGATACCTCACCTTTAGAGGTGGAATACCAGGGAAGAAAACAGTGTATCAGCGATTCCATTCAGGCCGCTGGTTGGAGGGCGTGAGGCACACCCACATGCTGGGCACCAGGCACACACCAGCGCCTAACGAATGCACAGTTCTTTGTTTGGTTTTTTACACTTGTAGTCACGTCAGCAGGACTGTGAGAAAACTTTCTGAATTTGTGAACAAATCATTCCTATTAAAATACTTGTCAGGACAACCAATAGTAAGCCTGGACAGTTGAGCATACAAAGAATTTAAGTTGACTTTTACAAGATTTATGGTTTTATATTTTTCCCCAGTTCACATCAGAGCTAACACTTCCTCGCTTTGTCCTGTGGCGCTACAAGCAAAGGCGGCAGTGGTCACCAGAGGGCAGCTGATTCTCATCAGTGTGATCAAGTCTGCATCACCGACCAGACCACGCACGCCCAGGACACCGTCCCTCCCGCACTCATCCAGATGGAGGGTTTCCAGTCACAGCTCCCTCCTTCTCTTTCCCATTTCCTTCTTATTGGCCAAAACACTTGCAAGAGTCTGTCTGCCTGTTGGCTTGCCTCACTGACCTGCCACTTCCTGACCTTCCGTTAACTCTCAACTGGCAATGACACCCGCAGACTGTGTTTATGAGTAATCTGTAAGAGGATTTACTTCTTTGACATCTAAGACGTAACGAGACAAAAACAAAGCATCACACTCTAAGCTCCAGTTCAGAGGAGAATATTACGTCCTCTTTTCTCTCATCCTTAGAGAGGCTTCGGGTGGTTACACACCTTTAAGGGAAGGTTTGTGTTGTCGCATTTCTGAACTGGCAGAGGACGGAGGGAGGGTCTAGAAGTTAACAGGTCCATATCCTTACTCTGTGTCAAGAAGGATGCTGAAGGTCAGCCGTTAAAAATGAACCAGTAAAGATTTTATTAAAAGCAAACAGAGTATAAACAGTAGATTTTAGGAAATAAAGGAAACGAGGAAATAAAAAAAGCTAAAACAAAGCAAACTTATAGTTGTGAAAACACAAAGCTGCCAGGCACAGATCAGACCCCTGGTGACTAGACAGGCGTGCGTGTCTCGGGGGAGCTGCTCCCGACGAGCACAGCAAAAGTCGGTCCCTCAGTTCTAGGAACATCTGAGCAGTTCCACGGAGGGAGGCTCATCGGTCTCTGGATTTTGAATATACAGACAGAAAAGTCATCTGCCTGGATCAGAATTAAAATATATTTGGAACCTTTTCCACAACCTCCATATGAAACAAAACAAATTTTGAATACTCCGGACGTTAATCTGACACATGTGTAACAGCACCACTCAGGGAGAGACGGAAGGGTCAAAGGATGGAAAGTCAGCACGCACAGTCACCCTCGCCGGTCCCTGCATTTACCTGGTTGTATGGAGGCACTCTGCACTGCGTCCTCGTTTTGCCCTGGGCAGCATGAGAAGCTCACTGCACGGACAGGATGGTGGTGAGTGGAACAGATAAAGGATGAGGCATTAAATGACGCGGTTATGCCAATGGTATGCCGATGAAAACATGAAAAGGGAAGAAACCAGATTGTCTGCACTAGCATATCTGCTTGAGAGGTTAAACAAAAATAAACATGACAGTATTTTTAAAAATTTAAACAATAAAGTACAAACATTATGGTCGAAGACCTAGCTGGTGTTGATTTGCTATTTTATTTCTAAGTGATTTTACAGAATATTAAAACAAAATAGAACTAAACTAAACCTTCCACAGATAAGACAGAAATCTATTTCCAATTCTAGACACTTTTAATAACTTTTAAAAGGCCTAAAAATCTGGCCTTTCTGATAATCATGGGAACCCTAAAATTTTTTATTTCTTTTTAGCAACTTAATGCATGATAGTTTTCTTGGCTTTTAGAGCCACTGAAAATGCAATATCACATACCATGTTTCCTCTTAACCAACAAGAATATACTTGATTAGGATTGTTTTATTTTAAAATTGATACTTTTTCTACACTCAAATTAATTTCACTCTATTGAATGCCCTGGTCAAGAAGTCCTTTGTCTTCCCTCCTCACCTAAATTCACGGTGGTCCCACGAATGCTGACAAAGTGGCCCTCACTCAACTCCACGCAGGCTGAGCAGTGTGGACCCTATTCCTCAGACAGTTCCCTGTCCCAGGACCCACTCTCTCGAAGGTCACAGCAGGGTGACAATCAGACAGGAAAGACGCTCCATTCGAGTTCTGTGTCCCTAACTACATGGCAGAAAGGCCATCATTTAGCACCACTATCATTTCCATACTCCTCCCTGAAAGTTTCTCCACTCCAAAGAGACAGAAGAGAATATTCAACAAGGTGGGCATTAAAAAATCTCAGTTAGATCTTGAGCCTGTGGTCAGGCATACTGTACAGGTATGTGGTTCCTTAGAGGAGAAGAAAGTCTGTGGGCATGTAGAATAATCACGTCATAATGTAGATTTTTAGTAACTGTGTCCAGGAAGTACTTGTTCATAAATAAATGCAGAACTAAACTTAAGTACACATTCATATCAGAAAGAATTCATCTCAATATTTTGTACCTTATAGACACTTTATGGAAATACGTTTTATGAAAAGTAGGCATATAAAAAACTTAGTGTGAAAGTTCTCACAGAAACTGCAATGTTAACTGTCTTTCAGATGACCTGTATCCAAAATTTTTAATTACATAAAAAACATATTTTTATAATTACATAAATAATATACCAAAGACTGCAACCCATAAAAAATAAAATATTTGAAAATTGCTTATGTAGGCTCCCTCCTATAATTTAGGTTAGTATCTTAGTTAAAAAACAAGCTGTACATTTAAAACTGGCTAAAAACGAATTTTGATTTTGTAAAAAAAAATGCACATATTATGACAATATGATGTTAGTCAAATATTTCCCAGTGTTGCATTTCTATAAGAATATCTTAAGTTGTTCTTTGACAGAAGTTCAGTTTTGAGCAACGACATACTTTGACTCTCTAATGTACTATGCTGAGCTATCTATCATATTAAAACAGAGCACAGAAAAGTGTACAACGTTGAGATCATAATTTGGACAAATACCTGTCTTGTTCTGATAAATACTGACTATCCACATCTCTGGATCTGTGATCAACTGGGCTTCGGGAGGCATCATGGTGTCTGGTTGGAGAACGTGACCTTCTTGTTGGATGAATTTCATCTAAACTCCTAAAATGATTACAAAAATTCATACACATCAAAGGGTATCATCTTCCCAAAACAGGCTGAAAGGCTAACAGAGAAAGTTTGACAGTAATTGGCAAGCAACTGACATGGGTTGAAAATTGTTGGCATCATAACTAAATACCCATCTTGTCAATGGGCTAAAGGTACCCTTTCCCTATGAGGGGTGGGCCTAAGCCCCATTCCTCCAACCTCTATCAAAAAAGGACCATGATTTCATCTGCACATTTAATCAAAATCTCAGAGTGTATTTCAGGGACAGATGAAGTGGACCACTACAGCACTTGTGGTTTATATGCTTTTCCAAGCATTTAAAGTGCTTCAAAGAGACAATCTCAAATTTCTTAAAAATACATTATGCCTCTTAACCTTATCCTCTCTGCCACTTCTCTCCACAGGTCTGATTCACAACCATACAATTTCTCCTAAAAGGAGAGAAACTAGCAAACAGAACACAAGACAGTTATTCAAAAGCAGTGCTTGGGACATAACATCTTCCACTCCCTGGGGGAATTTCTTGAAATTAAAGAACAGAATGTTGCATAGGTTGGGCAATTAATACAAAGGCATTTTGCCTACAAATGATTCTGAAAAAAATAACTTGATTGACCAAAGCATGATTTCATCCCAGTCAGAGTGCTGTGGCAGTTTACATTGTATCACAATAAAGAGGTGTGTCAGGGGCGCTGAGCCCACCTCTAAGCCTACCTCTGTAAGGGCACATTGGGTAAACGCGAGCGTGGCCGGCCTTGGTCGTCGCCACGGTGAGGAGACACGGACCGTGAGCGGTGGTGGGCTGCCCTCTGCTGTTCCGGCACAGTTAGTGTCGTGGACTTACTCTCTCTAGCACTAGACCTGTAACCTACTGGCAAGAGCAGACACAAAAAAACATTCAGTATTCTTCTATGATGTGAACATTCATGGGGAGACGTCAAATTATACCTAAAGCAGCCACTGACCTACTAAGACTAAAGCCATGCAATCAGCATCATCAGCCTCATCTTCCTAAGTATTCAGTATACGCACACAGAGTATATCAGATACATGCATGAGAACAGGTTACAGCTGGGCTCAGAGGGACCACAGAGATGCAGAATATGAATGTGACAGTTGATGCCTCAGACAGGATGATGAGTTGCGATGCCATTTTAATTTAAAGAATGAACGAGTTAGTGACTTTTCAGCAACACAAATCAAGCACTTGACAGTGAACTAGTTAATATAAAGTCAATGCTCAGAAATTTGGTGTCTTTTTAAATTTTAATTTTTCTTCCAGAGCATAAATTATTTTAGTTTGATTTAGATGGCTTCACTAATAAGAACATTAAAATGATATCATACCAATTTTAATTAAAAAAGAAGAGTAGCAACTCTTCACTATTACAAATACTGATCACGAATTTTGCAAACCACAGATAATACTGCAATTTTCAAATAAAAATAGTGTATGAGTGAGATGACTGTGGCAAGAATGCAGAGAAAAATAACTAATCATGGAATCTACCCCACACATCGGAGACTGCCACACAAATGTGCTAATTAGTAACATAATTAAGTTAATACAGTTAACATAGTTGCAACTAAAAATAAATTCTAAAAGTCATTCTCCCTTGAAGTAAAAAGGTTTATATCATCTCTGATTTAGTTAAGATAAAATAGTAATCTCAAACCCATGGTAATAGTTTAATTAAAATTTTTTAACAAGGGTCATTGTTTGCTATTATGGGAAGGAAAATAAAAAAATTCTGTGGCCAAAGGAAAAATAATTATATTTACAACTGCATACAATGTACATGAACCACAAACACATAAAACTTAACTGGGCAGCTTGAACTGTTGTCATTTATTTACTTGATAACTCCCACATTATTTTTAAAATATGCCACAAAACATCATTATTAAAGGTAGACTAATATTCCCCAAGAGTTCATTTGTTGTGACTTGATGATCACATGACTAAGCTTTAAAACTTAAAGAAGGTCTTTAAACATTTAATAAAGTACAATTTGACAATATTCAGACCAAAGAAGCTCAACCACTTTGCCTCTCTCTAAACACATCGGAATAATCACCAAGTAAGAGAACCACACACGTTATAATTTATAATTTCATATACTTCATTTTATTACCAACATCATAGTAAGTAAGCTATTATTTGAGTTTCGTGTAGAAAAAAGTTTTATGTTGTTCAGATGTATAAATTGTAATATTAAGTCTAGAAAGAGACAAAATAAATTTACATGTAATGAATTTATTTCACAGCTCATTATTAAAAACGGTGGCTATTATTAAAGATAATTAATTCAAGGTCTGAATTACATAAACATTTTAAATTACCATTTGGTATCATTTGATAACATTTGGGTATCAATTACACAATAATTATGGAAGGTCAATATTGAATTGGGAACACCATTTCAAGATTTCAATGGATATTCAAGGTATATAAATAGAACTTTCAGACTTGGTATAATTAATTACTACGAAATAACTTTCAGAGAATTTAGGCATCTTGCTGTTAAAAGGGTACAACTATTTTTTTTCTTGGGTTCTCTGTATTTAGATAAAAATTAATGTCTTTTTTACTCTATCCTAATATGCATTCATAATTCTTTGTCTGCTTTTTACAATAGTCTGGTTTTCTTCACATTATGTGTAATTTATTGTTGACAACATGTACTCTACCTTCCAAAAAAAGTGGTAGGGAATTGCTACTTGATGCTTATCTCAATGTTTTCATCAGCTCAAAGTTACAAGTTGCAGGTTTTTTTCCGTTTTCCGAATTTGCAATAAAGCTCTGTAAAGTTGAGGTTGTCAGATGCCTCACCTCAGATGAGGGCATTCTGTATATGGTTATTTTTACTCTTCTTAAGCAGCTAAAACAGCTTTTTTAAACAATAATAAGGCTATGATAACTATCATGTTAATAAAAAGAAGCTCTAGAGGTCTCAACTGCTCTCAGAACCTTAGATCCCTACGTGAGGAAAGGTGATAAATACATCAAACAAGAGCACAGAACTCTGGTTCTAGAAAAGCCAGCATGTTAGAAATTTAAGATTCGGCTGAGGTAGAACATCTAAATGAAGCTTTTGAACTTCTTCAGGAAACATACAACCAGGAACTTCACTAAGTGCATTCAACATATGTAGAACTGGCGGCCACAGCTAAACACATCTCTCTTCATGTGGATGCCAGGAAATGCAGAAGCAACTTTGTACTCAGCCTCTAAAAGTACACGGCAATGTATCAACATGCTTGTTTAGCAACTTATCCCTCACTTTATGTTAGCTTCTTGCCCTTATTTTACCAACACATCCTTCCTCTTTATTTAAAATGCATTGTAGGGGGCCAGCCCAGTGGCTTAGCGGTTAAGTGCTCGCGCTCCACTACTGGTGGCACGAGTTCGGATCCCGGGCGCGCACCGACGCACCACTTGTCTGGCCGCTGAGGCGGCATCCCACATACAGCAACTAGAAGGATGTGCAACTATGACATACAACTATCTACTGGGGCTTTGGGGAGAAAAGGGGGAAAAAAAAAGGAGGAGGATTGGCAATAGATGTTAGCTCAGGGCTGGTCTTCCTCAGCAAAAAGAGGAGGATTGGCACAGATGTTAGCTCAGGGCTGATCTTCCTCACAAAAGTAAATAAATAAATGGTCTTTCTTAAAAAAAAAAATGCATTGTATATCACTGTGTGACTTGCTATATTATATTGCCACATACATGTATCTTTAGAAGTTGCCATATATCCATTTTGGATCAATGAAGAGCACACCTGAAAATATAAATAAATTTCATTATACCCTTTATTCATTTATGAAGAGACTATGGAACATAAAATATCGCTTTTGGGTTATGTAATTTATTAGTTATATTCTATTAAAAGTTTGCCTCCTTACATTTTAAATGCAAATAAAAATGAATATTATTTTAAGTGACAGTTTAGGCTCTGCTTCTGTGAGATACAAGAGACTGTACATATTTGCGAACACTGTGACGTGGCATATTTCAGAATGGACCATGAACATATTTAGGATTCAGGGCTCTTTGGTGGTGTCCAAGCACAAATCCCACCCGCCGTTGGTCCCCTAACTCCCACGGTGGCTGCTGTCCAGGTGATCCCTCAGGGAGAGCAGAAAAAATGCACTCTTTTAGTACACATATTTATTGAATTGGCCATTTATTAATTCACTCATTGACTGTCCTGCCTCATCATAAAAAATAGGAAATTTTAGGTGAATAAAATGTGAGAGCCAGTCACAGAAGTGAATTTGATTTAGATGAGTCAGTAACAACAACATTAAGGCTGATTAATAGACAAAAATTCTCGTTAGAAAGGTTTGATGCCTTTCCTACCAGGAATCAACTGATTCCTATTTAAATATTCCAAAAGATTTAACGTACAATCACTCTTCCTCTTTCAATTGCATAAAAAACCAATATTCTACTAAATTTTGTGTTAAAGTGTCTTTGGGGAATTTTTCTAGTTATTATGACCCTTTTAGAAATAAAAATAGAAAGCAAAATATAATACATTATCCACTATTACTTAAAATTCCCACTCATGGCCTGATATCAAAGAATGAATCCAGGTATGCAGACGTGCATAGCAGGTTTATTGTTCCAAGAACATCTGTACTTTTACACAGTGATTAAATACTGTATTTTCTCTGACGTATAGGGAGCAAAGGAAACCTAATTTTAAAGAACTCTCCTTAATTTTCTCCTCGTGTTAATGTTAATGAAGTTGTATATATGTCTCTCCAAATTGTGAACTTAAGACACTGGTGTGGAATCTGTCTATTGACTTATTACTGAAATCACTGCCCTCAAGTTTAGGGCATCTCCATCTGAGAAATTACATAAATTAAGCGGACACATGTCAATATGGTCGTAGAGGAAGGCCTTTAATAACTCATATTGATACCTCCCAAGATTTTCTCTTTAATTTCTTCTTATCTGAATATTTCCTTCCTTTTTATTAGTAAATCAAGGAAATAGTACAGAACTAGTGCCAAGAAAATAAGCCTTCACTACTCGGTTTTACTGACTTTCTGACAAAAGAGTCAGATAAGAAAGAGAGGTTTGAACTTCACAATGTCTCCAAAATTTTACTAACTTACAGACAAAAAGATGTTGACTTAAAATGAATATTGAATCTTTCTAAAGCATTTCCTTATTTAAAACATACATACGACATTCTAGGTATAATCAGCGGTGAACACATCACAGAAGCCTTAGGAGTTAAGCCATGCTTCATGCAACTGTGCGCCCTGCCATGCACTGTTCTCAGAATATTCCATGGAAGGCTACATGATCTCAGAAACAGAGGAGGAAAATCATAGATGTACAATATAAAACACAGGAGAATGGAATTTTTATTGAAGAAAATTAACCATATCCTTTCAAAATGAAGATCGTATGTTCACTGATGCTCAGAGCACTGTGAAATAATGATTTTAACCTAGCTAGCCATGCGTCTAAGGAAGAACTTGACTAAATTAAATAAACCGGGATGTTAATGAATAGTTACTAGTCCATTTCATACTTTCTTAACAATTGGGAACACAAGTCACCATGGAATAATATACTACTGATTTCTCTGTGCTCTAGATCTCCGGTTCAGTCTCCCGCAGAAGTCTGGAAGCCGACAGCGCGAATCGAGCACAGAAGCACAGGGAAGTGGGGCCGTGCTCCCCACCACGCACCTGGAGGAACTACGCCAATCCCGTCCTCAACCTCATAATCTGAGATGTCACTGTCAGTGACGCGCTGAGACCCTGCACAACAGGAAGGCAAACAGATACCTCCATCTCTGATCGGTTATAAAAGGTGAACGACACGGCCGCATTGTTTTTTAAAGTGAATTACATTACTACTATTACTTCTGAACAAGAGTAATACAAAGTAAACTGAGCTGAGCTAATTTTTAAAGAAATGGTTGTTCCCCAAGGATACCATTTTCTCTTTATTTCTTTTCTACAATCACTGAAGATGTATAGAAGGAAGGGGACTTTGTAGAATAAGATTTTGACTTTTCAAACCATTCCTTAATTAATGTCTTATACTAAGAGCCTATAGCAAAGAGTGTCCACTATTTTCCACCCAATGAAGAGCCCTCCTCTGCGTTCAGGGTGGATGGGCTGAGTGGAAAGGCTCACAGAGACCTTTCTTGGCTGGAGCTCTACTGAGCTCATATGACTGAAAGTGCACCAGGGCCTTTATAAAATATTTATGTTTAGCCTTCAAAATTAGCCATTATACTGTATTAAACATTAATTTTGAGGAAATGATTTATCAGAGAAGCACTAACATAAAATATTCAATTCCATGAGGAAAACAATTTGGTTCCAGATTACCAAAAGGAAGCTTTTAAGTTTCAGCTGTCCAATTAGAGACTTAGTCCTAAGTCAAAAATCAACGAATATGTACAGAAAAAATACGGTTTTACCAAATCGCCAGATGAATAGCAACAAACATACTTCACAATGTTTTTTAAAAAATGTTTCTTATGAATAATGATACTAAAAATATCCAGGAACTATAAATTATTAAAACCTCACATGTAGCAACCCATCGATAATGACAGAAAATACTCTATCAGTCAACAACCAACAGCTCAATCAGCACTAGGCAAAGAATTGTTATTCAGAGTTTCTAAACCTTCAGCTCTGGAATTACTCTGCTGTATGTATATATATATACACACACATATATATATACACACATATATATATGTTACTTTCATTGGGAAATGTAGAAAATAGTTTTGCCAAGTCTCTATAAAGATGAATAATTTTCCAATATTTCAATCTCTAATAAACATTTGAAAAAACATCTTGAATGTTAACCTCTAGTTAGATCACAACACAGTGACTTCCGGTTACTAACAAGACCTTTAACCTACTTTGTAGTTTCTTGCTGGAGCTTTCTCCGTGGACGTGTCGCCTTGGCAGGAACGGTGATGGCTGAGGCAGAGGTAGTGAGGACTCATCATGTGTCTGCAGTTTGTACCAATGTGGCTCATCGTCTAAGAGTGCCGTCTCCAGCTCTATGAGGATCTGAAAGGGCAGTTCTCAAATTAGATCAGCCCCTTGACCAGAACGTGCACCAGAGCGATCATAATTAACACAGAGCACACAAACGTGACCTGCATCTTCACAAATACGTCACCTCGCCTAGAAATTCACTCTCCTCCTCCTGCACTCGAGGTTGGTCCCACACGGTTATCTCCAACATCCGCTCCCTGAAGTCTCTGCGATGCACGTGAGAATAGACAAACGTCTGGTTCCACTTTGGTTCCAGCACTTTCTTTACCGTTTTGGTCCTCCTTTTACTTTTATCACTAAAAAATAAGTATTTTTTATAAACAAAAAAGCAAGAACGAGCCAAGGCTGCCATCTGCTGCAGTGATGTAATACCACTACCAGGATTTTTACCATTTTTAATTCATAACTTTGGTATAAAAGTCTAAAAAACTGTAGAGTTTGATTCTAATCTAACTTTAACTAGGATGTAAGCAATATTAGGATTCTAGGCACAGCCACAGGTACATTCTAAATGATGTCACTGTCAAAGAAGAAGCGATGGATAAACAAGGTAATGAAAAATTTTAAATTGGCAGATAATTGTCAAAGAACTACAAGACTTGAGGGATTTTTTTTTTTTCAGGGATAATGTAGTTTATTCCCTCATAGAGAATTATCCATTTTAAAACTACACGTCCAAACTCATCAAAATGTATACATTAAGTATGTGGAAATTTTGGTATATCAATTATACCTCAATAAAGCTTTAAAAAAGAAATAAAACTATATTTCAGCAGAGAAACTTCTATTTTTTCTATTAGTGAAGATTTTTGCATATTTTTTCCAGAATTATTCACTACCTTCTATCTGGAAGAAAATACATTTTTACATAGGGATTCCTGGTACGCCCGTCTACTCTAGGTGGCAGGTCTGTTGCTTGCAGAACATTTACAATCAGCTGGTGTCCCACTTTGTCATACCACAGCTTCACCTAAGAGCAACGCAGACAGGAATTAGTATTTGTAAAAACCACAAGGTCTTATAATTTTACAAAAAAAATACTGAAATTATTTTTGAAGAAAAAATTTCAAATTGCAGTACAATTGAATGATAGGTATTATTTCTGAAAAGAATACCAATTAGAAAGTATGACCACTTAGAATTTGACTTTTCTCTTCATACATTTTAAACATGACTTAGAACTGGCAGGCCTACAGTGTTAACTTATATGCTTACATCATGTTATGAAATACAATTAATGATAAAAATTTTCTAAAAACTAAGGGAAGAGGGGGATATTAAAATAATTATCCTTGTTTTTAAATGCTAATCACAAGTTTTTGGTGATTATAATTGCCTTAATGATTACTTTTTGGCTAAAAGTGTCTTGTAGTAGCACATGTGGCTGAAATAAAGCGAGGTTTGGTGACAGGAAGGATGCACACAGTGATCTGGAGGAGGTCAGGGCCAGGTTCCCTGGGGCTGCTTGACACCACGTAATGCTGTTTCTGAACATATTTTCTCATTTAATTTTTATGATTAACCTATTATAGGTTAATTTTCATGAGAGAAGAGGAAAAGAACAATGGAAGGTGCAACACATAAGTGATGCCTTCAGACTACGTGAAGGCCAGATGATACTGCTACTAAGACTTCACAGTAGTTTGCTTAAAGAAAAACGGGAAAATGACACACTGAAATACTACTGTCAGACTGCTAAAACCGGAAGTTTAGCAGTCAATACAGTATTTCTGCTGGCAGTGGAAAATGTTAACTTTAATATTTTTTTTAATTTAGAAGTTAGTTTTGGTTCTATGGTCAAATAAGTACTATGAGCACGAGTTGTTTCATGGGTAGATGCTGGAACATGTTTAGGAGGCATTATAACAAAACAAGCTCATTTAATGTGCAATCAGTGTTTCACTGAAAGGGGCAGATAAAGGATTCGAACTGGAGCTGACAGTATCTGTATCTCTGCTCCCAATTAATACCATATGTGTTTTTCATAAAACCGCAGAATTTTTATCCTCCTGAACACAGGTGGAGAGTATGAGAGACTCACACACACACTGAAAAAAAAGATGGCGGAGGGGGTAAAATAAACACGAGGGACTATTCAAACACATTCAATCTACTAAAGATAGAAGTTAAACCAAGAAAGGTTTTAAAAATAATAGCAAGCTTATAGTTATCTTCTTTGTTTAATTAAAACCAAGAAAAGAGCAGCAAAACCAGACTACAGAAATCCACACATTACCAAAGGAGCAAAAGATCAACTATTTATAGGATAATTTGAAGCAAGGTTTTCTTTTAGTTATTAATACAGATGTCCTGTAATCTACAGGAATCTACACAGAGGCGGCTTCCACACTAGTTCTAGCCACCACTCTTTACTCTCCCCGGGTCACATATGAGGCAGCAGTGAGGAAAACAGGAGATTTTTCAGAGTGATGTCAGCAATGAATGTCTTAAGTAGTTAAAAAGAATATTTTAAATATACGTTTCTCAGGCTCCAGGCTCATAAGGTTGTTAAGTAAACGGAAGATTCTAAGTTTATCATGTCTAACCAATTGCTTACCTTAGAGACTTCTATACAGCACACAAAAACTGAACGATGTTTTATTTACTTATGTTATCGTTTATCATTTAATGTTCAGAACATCTGGCACATTGTAGGCACTCAATAAATATTTCCAAATAAATATAAAAAAGAATAATAAATAAGTGCACGAAAAATTGACAAAGTAGATCATGGTGTTAAATGACTACAAATGCACCACAGGCTTCAAAGACAGACTGTGAGCGAGTCCTAGTGGTCTCCACCATGCACACAAGTACATACAGAAAGTTGTCCTGGTAAGACTTGTGGGGCATCTTTTAGGGCTCCAGGACTGGTGGGAGAAATAACAGAAATGGAAGGCCTTTCCATCTTCTGAGATTCAAAGGAACTTGAACCTAAAATGAGAAAAAAGTTTAAGTAATTTTTAGTAACATATTTGTGACATGTGTAGGGAATAAATATTTTTATAAGATGTTAAATGCATATTTTATTAGCATAAATCTATAATTCAACACCATCAATAACAGAAGAACCTACTTTCAATGGGATAGCCATAGAAAGTTATCATTTTGTCTTCTTTGGTGGTCTATTTTAGAGGTGTTTAAAATGAAATAATTAAATATTGTGTTTATTTGCTTCAATTTGTAACTACTGATTTTCTGCATTTCTGGAGGGCACTGTACAGTCTAGGCTCTTGCATAACCTCACATACAGGTAAAGTCTTCATGCTTTTAATGATAAGAAAGATGGTACCCGTTACATTTATTATCTTGGCTAAAGGATCATTTATTACGAACTATCCTTACTGAAATTAAAATGAATGCACATAAAATATAATTTATGGAATTAATCACTGTTTTACAATAAGATTTACCATCCATCTCAGTTTTGACTTCCAGATGAATCTCCTGACTGTCTGAGAACCATCTCTAGCATTTCACCACAAGTGACTTGATTCACCTTCATGTGCAGGAGACTGGCTCTCCACTCAGCCACTCAGCGAGGGCCTTCTCCTCCTTTTTTTAAAATGAAAGTTCTCTCTTCCCAGATCACTGTTAAGTTGTACCCTGACACAATCAGTGTATAGAATGTCTGTGGAATGCTATCAGCCCAGCAAGAAAAACCTTGAAACCACAGTGATTCAAAAATTAGCTTCACAGAAAATACTATCTATGGACCACCACCTGAGGGTATGTCATCCACACATTTTTTTCTATATGTGTAAATTAAGTCTAAATTAAACCACATAGCATCCTTCTCTGCCCTCCAAAGACTTTTCACTATTAGAAACTGTCATAAAATTCTTGGTTACTATGTCTCTCTCTTTTTTTTTTTTTTTTAATTTTATTTATTTATTTTTTCCCCAAAGCCCCAGTAGATAGTTGTACGTCATAGCTGCACATCCTTCTAGTTGCCGTATGTGGGACGGGGCCTCAGCATGGCCGGAGAAGCGGTGCGTAGGTGCGCGCCCGGGATCCAAACCTGGGCCGCCAGCAGTGGAGTGAGCACACTTAACCGCTAAGCCACGGGGCCAGCCCACTATGTCTCTTTTATCAAGTATCCTTGGGTCTCAGTACAAGAACACTGTTGCTTCTAATAATCAGTTTGTTTCTAATATCATAGCAGTTCATTTTTAAATAGTATCAACAGTATAAATTATACAACTGGTCTCATTTCCTTCTTTATATTGGTTACCAGAAAGCTCAAAACCAAATCTGGGCTCATGTCCAGCAGGTATGCAGAACCTGACAGCGTGCATGTGAAATACTAACCTAATCTTTGGTTCCTTGTTCACCCTACCCATCTATTTTCTACCTCCTTATAACCACCAACACGTGTTTTCCCCTTAAATTACCCTTATTCTACATTTCTACCAGCTAGGTTACGTACTAATACTTGGTGATCATATCCAAGTATTATTAGTTTAATGCCAATCCACTGCAAACTAAATATCTGGGTCACTTCCACACTCTCACTGAAAACTTCATTACTTGTCCGTAGTGTATTTCACACACTGCCACCTTCTCCCATCTGGAGTGACTTGAACGCCCATGTAGATCACGCAGTCCTCCAGCCTCAGTCCCTTAACTGCTTCAGGTCCCCTGAACCCAACCTCTGCTCCAGGCCCTGCTCTTCCCTGAGCAGGCCTGACGCCATATCACTGCATCACGATCATCTGACAATGTGCCTGCTTCCCTCGCCAGCCTGCTCACGAGACTCAGCTAATCCCCAACCAACCTGAGTAACCCAGCGTGACAACAGGTGTTTATGTGCAGCAGATAGAGTACTGAGAGTAAGGCAGAACTGCTCTGGGCTCCAATGACTGGCATGGTTGCCAACTTCTGATACCACTGGAGATAACCTTAGTAGAGTAATGCCAAGTCATTTATATCAAGTAACTAAAAACGGTAAATCTGCATTCTTCAATTTCATTCAATATATATTACAGTAATGAAGAAATCATATACTCACTGGACTCCAGGGGAGGATGGGAGCTCTCAGGAATCCGGGGAATGTCACTAAAAGAAACAGAGTGGTGAAAATCCATGAGCTGAACCACCCCACCTGAGGCCGTCACAGCCACATTCTATCTCAGTGCTGCGAGAAATCCTTCTGTGTCTTTACAGGCGTGGAGATGAACAAGTCACTACCAGGGCAATTACTAATGTGCATGAATGTCAAACACCACACACACAAAAAGAGTGCAGTAAAAATAAGTTTTTATATATTTCATAGCAAAACACTTTAACATGACAACAGTCAGACTAATATTGTGGCTACAATTACCACAATATTTTTACTACCAAAACAGCAGGTTTTGGAAATAAAAAAATGTTAAAGGTAATATTTTACTTCAATTCTAGAAAATCAAAATGACACATATTTTACAAATTAGTATATGCTTTACAAACACATCTGAAAGAGTTTACTGAATGAAAGGGATGGAAACATCTCTTGATAATAAAATAATATGGTGAATATCATGGGCAAAGTTAATAAAATGAAAAGAATGAATTGCTTTGGAAATTAAAAATGACTCAAGCTTGCAACAAAAAAGCCAAAATACTTTATATATGTGAATATAAAATTAATATACACATATATAACCCTATATAGAGATTCATATCTCCATACTGAAGTTAGCTAAATATATGGCCATTTACTCTATGATTAGAAAGTGACCTGTGAGAACACCCATTCCTGTCACACTCACAAATTACTCTGGATAAATATTTAGTATAACCTCAGCTTAATCCATTATCCATTGTGACCTTGAGAACCCTGGACCAGCTTGCCTTGGGAATTGTCCTACACAGAACTACTTTACCTCTGGTATTCCAAGATATTTTAGTGTCAATTTAAGGAGATTGACAATATGCAAGTACTAATATGACATATTAAAGCAGACCGGAGGTAGCCAGTACCAACAGAATTATTAGAATACTATTTAAAATTTCTAACCACTTACCTTGTGACCTAACTTCAGTTTTATTTTCTCTGCACTTTTACGGGGAACAGAAACAAGAACAGTGTTCTCTGTTTGATTATTTTCCTGACTCTTCATTTTCACTCTTTTGTGCAAAGTAATTCTCGTAACCACCTACAATTTATACTTCCTACAAATGACAATATCTCCTGTGTCGTGTATTTTATAAACACGTTTCATTATATATTGTCTCTAGCTAATAAACTGCATAAAATATATTTTATATGATAATTAAGAAATTAATTTGCAATACCTAAGCCTCAAGAAACTAACTATTTATCTTCTGCTACCTTCTTCTAAATTAATCTAGGCAAATAATAGTAGATTTTTAAAAATTCAGAAACAATAATATTTCAGATAGTACAACTTCTTAGATAATCAGCCTCAAAGTCAATTAAGAAAATTAGAATTTGGAACTCTAAAACTAGGAATAAGCTTTGGATTTTATGTGTCTGTGAAAGACGGATTGTGGAGAAGTTGTAAAAAAATTTCTAAAGTAATTCTGAATCAAAATTTAATTAATGTTATTTGCTTCAGTAATATTTTAAGGCATAAATTTCCACTTGATGTTTACACAAGCCTTCTTAATTAGTTCTACTCACAAATAAAGTGGTAGAATAGTTCTAATAACGATTATAAGCACAAAGGTCAAGAATTCTGTATTTGGGAGGTTGGCAAAATGGTCAATATCTCAAGATACCTGATGTCCCTTAGACCATGTTCATCCATGTGCACGTAAGTTATATTTGGAATGATTTTTGGAATCACTATGCCACAAATTATGAATATTTGCTTTTTGCTTTAAATTAATCATAGATTTACATTAAACATAATTATCAAATACAGCTTGAATTCTTCTTCCAGGGTTCAAATAATTTCTCTATTAACTGGAAAGTTGATGCCAGATTTGTTTTCTATTTAAGTATAATCTTTGTATTCCATATTGCTTTGAATTCCATAACTCACGACAGTTTAGGATTTGGCTATGAAGATTATTACTTTTTAAATTATTTGCATACAAAAGTAAAAATAATGCAAATTTATTCCAGTCTACTTTAATTGTCTGTAAGTTTTTTTATGTCACCATGAATCAATGATATTTTAGCTGATTACTTTTAAACCACTATATATCTGAAAGTATTTGGCAATGTGCACAATGCTTGATTTTAAATTTTATTTTTTAAACTTTTGATTCATTTTCCAACTTACTTACCTCTTTTCCAGCCTCATATTTACCTCAGCACTAGAACAGGTCATGTAAAACTAGCATAAATTATATAGTGTCGTTATTTTTAAAAATCTGCATGGAAATGTACAATACTTTTGCAAATGTCTTCAGTGTTTACTCAATAATCACCACTTAAAATTGGTTATAAGCTTGGCATTTTAGAGTTAAATATATATATATTAATATTATTCTTTGGAACATATGATCATACATGTTCATAATGGTATTTTCTTGTGTGTTTTGCATTGACATATATTCATGAGGACAACAAAAATTTAAGGTTGCTACTTCTTCAACATAAAAAGTCTTGAATTAAGGCTCTATAATATATTAGAGAATAGGAAAAAAAAGAGAAATATTTCCAAAAATATATTCAAACATTAAGCCAACTATAATGAAACAGTTCAAAATGCCTTCCAAAAAATTATAGACTGGCAAAATGAATATTCTGGACTTTGTGGGTTTGCAAGGAAAACAATATGGGAACTCTACACACAGATATAGAAAATATCCCAATGGCTGTAGCATAATTAAATTATGCTGAAAACTGAAGTTTTAAAAAGATCATACCAATTATTCTGACCAATTAAAATGTTAAAATATTTCACACTTGCTTGATTTTAAATAAAAGTTGGAACTACCATGGGTAAAGATATAGAAAAAATATTCTATTCTTATTAGAATAAAAAGTTCATGTAGACATAGGAACTCATCACTACTGTAAACATCACAGGAAGATGTTTGTTAGTGACCCCCTTTAAGGAAATGCTACTAATTAATTTAGAATTACTAAGCATAAACAGTCTACCATTAAAAGAAAATATTTTTACTTTATATTTCACTTCTGAAAAATACATATCAATACTTTTTGATACTACAATTGTAAATTGTGGAGCTTCTAAAATGTAGTGAAGAAAATTCAGAATTCAATTTAAAAAATTAAGAAATTTTAGAAATCTAAAATGTATGCCCATAATTGAATAAAAACTATCCATGTTAACATGTACTGTATGAATGTATAAACTTCTTTTTAAAACCCTGCTAATACATGTAATTTACTAAACTTAAGAAGTAAGTTTTTTTAGCCTTACCCAATAGGCCTTGAAACAATAATTTCAACTTGAGGTTCTGATTTTGATTCTAAAATAATGTTGTAAACTTCTTCATTTGTAGCTCCCGGCAGGGGTTTACCATTCCATTCTAGAACTTCATCCCCTTGAATTTAAAAAAAAGGGTATTTTTTTACCTTATATATTCTGTTTATTTTACTTATCTTTTCTCTTTTTTAACAAAGAAATGCAAAACATATACAAATAGTTTAATTGTCTAGGCTCTGCTTTCAAAAGCAAATGGATTGGCATATAATGTCAGCTAAATGGTTCTTCTAAACACTTTTTTCTCTCCTTCTTTTATTTCTTTCTTTTCTTTTTTTTTCTTTTTCTTTCTCCCATAGAATATTACTGGTCACTGGAAACAGTACAACACAAGACTACCTTTATCCTTTGAGATATACCAGAAAAAATATAAAATAATCTCATGCTATGGGATGGAATTAGCACAGCCTATTTGGAAACATTAAAAAATAATAATTAGCAGCATGCCCTCCATATAATAAATGTAGGAGGCTCTATACGTGAAAGATGCTTATTAAACTGTGCGTAAATCCTGCTTTATTTTTGGTAGAAATAGCAATTAACTTTTGTTAGCATGAATTTTTCAATTGTAAGTCATGCTTTCTTGTCTCCCCAGATGCACAGCAGCATAAAAACGCACGGGAGGGTCTGAACCCATACCCGGGGTAACGCAAGTGGCTATGGCAGGTACAAAGCAAGCAGATGTGGAGCTGGTGCATGACAGTTAACCCACTTCCAGATGTTCATAACACACGTTCTACACAGAATATACACTGTGAGCATTAAAGCAAAATCAGAAAATATTTTCAAAATGATAAAATTTAATACAGTACTCATTAGTTTCTTAAATATTCTAAGAGTAATCAAAGAGAGTGATGTGATGCTAAAATATGTGGGCTAACAACTTATTATTGTTATTTAAGGGAGAGTTTTCAACATAGATCATTTGCGAAAAACTGTTTATTTCCATAAATATTTAGTGCATTCGAGGTCCCAAACGGCTCTCTGCCCAGCACCCTTCCACTCACACGGCACCTCAGCCGAAGTAGCCCAGCCTCAGCAGGACTATGAGCATCTCAAATTTTTCATGTTTCTGCTTATTTTGTTGTTTCAGTGCCTATAACATTTAATAGCTAAGTCAATATATGTTGAAGTGATAGATCAATATCATCATTATACATTTTAAAGCTAACTATAAACATGAAATCTTTTTGTTTAGCTAGGTCTTTTTAAAAAAAAAAGCAGAAAAAATTTGTTTTGCTAGGACTATTTTAAAGCAATTCTTTTTTTTTCCCCCCAAGCGTTTGCTTACTCAAAAAGTAAAAAACAAATATTTAAAACGTGCATGTGCTGCTTTGGTTGGGTAACAGAGTATCACCAAGAGTTAAATGACTTCTAATAGTTTGACCTAAGGAGTTACCTAGCAAAGCTTTTCAAATAGGCAATAAATATATTTCACTATTTAAAAAAAAAAGAAATAATTACAAATTTAAAATACATTAGAAGTCTTTTAAATGTTTTTGATCAAGAAAAAAAATAAAGATTACATCATGTGAATGTGTATACATGTGCGTGTGCAAGAAAAAATATTTTCTGCAACAATACTTACCCTGATATTGTCTATTCTATTATGTTCTATTTCATTTTTTTTAAATGAAGGATGCAAACCATTAAATCAATTTTACTAACGAGTAATGATCTGCAATCAACATTTTGCAAAAGCACTGAATCATAAAATTCCCCTCCTTATAGACAGCAACTTGGAAGCATAACTTTTAATATCAAATTAACTTAATATATGTATTTATTTATTTACAAATCAATACCTCCTAAACCAGAAGGCAGACTTTTTAACAATATTTTTTTATATATAGATCATCTCTTCAGGCAGGGATGCAGATTATGACAATACAAAGATGAAAAAAGAGACCTTCTCCATCCAGAGATTTGGTGGCAGAGAAATGTGGAAATGTAAACCTTTAAGAAAATGTCAAATGCAATAACAGGAGTTCACCTGAGGACAGACGTAGAGCCAGGTAGGGCCAGGGAGGCAGTAATTAGTTACCGCTCTAAGTGAGGTATCAGCAAACACTTTAGAACTAATGCAACTTTGGATGAGTTCTGAAGGATGGAAAGGACTTCCACAGGCAGAGCACAAGAGCAGAAAGCAGACAGGCAGACAAGAGGCAGTGGCTGCATCCTACGGGTGGAAAGAGCTCTCCAAGGACCTACAAGCAGACTACCACGCCTGGAGGTAGAGTGGATGGTGAAGGATGCGACTGGAATTGCTGGAAGAGGACAAAGCTACAGAGGTCTGACTGAGCCAATGATGACTGGGAGACACTGACGAGTCTTAACGAGGACAGTGTCGGGCTCAATTTTGTGTTCTGGTGATTAAATCAGGTCGTGGTGCAATGTGTGGGCCTCAGGGGAAGCAGCAACAGAGAAAGCTATGGCGGGATTGAAGACCACCATGCTGAAGAAAGGTCATGCTGATAAAAGCAGCACTGGAGTTTCACAGGCCAATGATGTTCACGTGCAAACAGAAGGGAAATGGTTCCTACATGATAACGTAAAGCAAGCAGAATTGATGATCTAACTTATTAAGCATACATTTTTCAAATACATCAACTGCTTAAAGTGAAAGCACACTTGTATGTTTTATAGTTATTTAAGTTGAGCTTTTAATATTTTAGATTTAAGTTTCTCAGGCTCTGGGCACATAAGGGTATAAATAAAAGAAATTAATCACTAAGGGATACATTATATAGAAAAACCCTTCACTGAGTTTCTTAAGTAACATTCTATTAAAACACAAAGACAAAATCAGAAGCCATGATGTCCATGACCTGATCTGCATACTCAGCCTTCTGTAGTTGGCCATCTTACAACAGAGTGGTCAACAAGATTCTCAGCCTGTCCAAGGCTTCTGTCTGAGTCATGAAACAAGGCAAGACTCAGTATATTGACACAGTCTCTCCTGAAGGAGCTGTTTTCTTACTGAATCACAACCATCCCTGACAGGAAACCATACAGACTGCACCTCTCACACCAGAGCTGTGTGCAGAGCAGACGGAGAGAAAACCCTGATAGGGACTTTCTCCGTATACGACACCTGCACAGCACGTCCCTATCAAAGGAACAACTAGACGATTTCGAGCTGATTTCCTAGGAGTCAATTACAACACAAGGGTCCAATAATTACAACCTTAAGGTATAAAAACTGAAAACACAGCCTAGAGATGTTGTCCTTCTATGGGTTATTAATCCCCAGTCCTACAGCCTACTCTGTTTTCTTTATAATGGTCCGGCAAATGCATGAGCAGACACTCTAGCCAAAAGATTTCTACTAAATTCTGAAGTAAACTGAGAAAAATATGTTAATATGATTTTAACAAAATTAAAAGTAAGCAGTTTATCAAAAATAGGTTTTAAAGTATGTTGCCACTGAATACAGTATATTTGAACATATTAAATGATATTATTAGGTTGTGTTAAGGTTACAGAGCAACAGAATGTAAATTTCCAGATACCAAGAAGTGGCACATCGTCATGAGTACAACACACATCACATTTACATTAACAAATATTTTATTACATAATCTGTGTGAGAAATGTGACTATGATGGTACTTCACTAAAAAACACTGCTACTGAGTGTTTTGGGACCGCCATGAAAAACTTCAGTAATTATTCTCGCTTAAAATATGAACTAAAGAATTAAACAATGATATTATTTTTTTACAAGGCTAAATTGTTTTGGATTTTTGTTGCCATATTATGAAGCCATCTACAAAAATTAGTAATCCTTCAGCATTTTGCATCTATGGATTTTACATAAATAAAAAAGATTCCTCCTCTTACTCTTTCCAAACTGCTACTGATGTACAGTTACCTATTATTGCAATCAGTAATACCCACATCAGGAAAACAATCTTTATTCATGCATTAGATTAGTTATTTACTTAATTGACTTATATATAACTTACCCAAAACTGACAACCACCAACTCATGCACAGAGAACACACTGTTTAAATAGGAAAAAAGAAACTTTACCTGCTCTTAAGTGTCCAACTACATCTGCCAGGCTGCCCTTCTTTACTTTGGTGATGAAGGCACCAAGGCGTCCTAAGTCAGTCATTTTTCCTCCAACAACCTGGATAATCATAAACTTATAAGTTCCCAAGGCTCACACTGAAATGTAAGTTTATTAGTTTGAGGGATTAATCCTACCGTCTTTTATGATGTATTTACAATTGAGTGCAGGGACATTAATTAAGTGAAATACATTTTTGAGGAAAGGAGCTGGCAGTATAGTTTGAAAAGAAAACATCTTGTGATATTTGAGATGACCACGCGTCCTGAGAAAGTTTACGTACTGATTACTGATGCTGACCTAAGAACACAAGGGCACCATGAATAACGTACACCCTTAGAAGATGGGGGCCTGGTCTGCCCTACTGACCGCCAGACAGCAAGTGTTTGACATCAGGGCTCATTTTTCTTTATCCTCTAAATTCATGCCTACCAATTTCTAGATGGAGATAATGCCCCACTGTCACATCAGATCTTTACATCTTTTGTACATTTTTAGTAGAATGTAGGTCTAAGCCATAAAGACTAACGATTCAAACCAAGAACAGGCCACCTTGAGGAAGCAATTCACCATGGTCCACAGAGGACCAGCCTACCTCGATCTCTGATGCTGATCACTGGAATGACTTCGGCAGCCAAAGCACTGTCTGCTCCACTCTAACTCGCCAAGTCTGAGTGATATTACCAAATATTCAGCACTTTCACTTGGCTTTTCCACTGTAACTAAAACTAAATACATCTGCAAGTTTCTAAGTTTAATTTCTCCCGATGCAGGTGCTAAGTATGTACAATTAAAAGTGGGAGAGAGATTCTCAGAGGCTGAGGTTGATCCACAATGCTTAGGGTGATTTAAAACACATACGCATGCACACATGATAAAATAAAATGCGTGTGTGTGTGTGTGTGTGTGTGTGTGTGTGTGTGTATCTCTCTCTACAATAAAACAATCTTTTGTAATTTATTGCCTTTTAATTATATCTGTCAGAAGTCAATTAATACTTTTAAAAGATACATTTTGCCTTTTGGTATTACTGTAAATACTATTGCATTTAGGAAACAATCTCAATGATGTTTTATGTTGCTGTCAAAATATAATAAAATTATGAAGCCCACATTATCCAACTTTACTACCATCCATTAAAACATTTTTAATGTAAAAGTCATCCTTGAACTTCATATTCAGAGAAAACTTCTTTAATTTTCCTATATTTTATTGCAGTTTCCTAACACCTCTGTGTGCCATATTAATAAAAATGATTTTAAAACATTAACCTAGATAAAAATGCTAAATCTACCACAAAATGTCAATATATTAACAAGATATATTCACTAGAAGGATTTTATTTTGGAGAGGACAGAAAGATACTTAAAAACCACCGTCAGCAACTTCGCCGACTGCGCCCACCCTGTAATGCCCTGTCAGACACACCGGCACCCAGCACACTTACTTTCAGACCCAGGAGTGCACCTGACTCCTTGGGCATCGTCGTTCTCTTGTTAAGAATAACACGTCCAATTAATCGGTCCCCCTCTTTAGATGGCTGCCACGTTACAGGATGCTATGAAAACATGAAAAAAGTTAAAAAGCATAAGCTATTCATATAAGGTTATAAACCAGTGTGACCTCATAAAAAGAAAATTCAAAAAAACAGCAGCTGTTTTCTTTCCCACAGACACAAAATTACTGTTTGTATCATGTGTGTTTCCTCAGTTAGAAGACATTTTAGATGGAATTCTTTACTCTGGGGGGCTCTACCCTTGGCTTCTAACAGTCTTCATTTACAACTATATTTTATTTGCAGTGGACACACACTATATACTGCGGTGTTAACGGTCGTCAGAACCAAGCGCATCTCTAAAAAATGGTTCTGAAGTGAAATTCATTGAAATTTAAAAATACATCGGCTTATATAAAAAATGGATTCTGTGTTTTGAGTTGTTAATGTTGAGATCATTAAGCAAATATCTTATTTACATATAATAATTATTCAATAACTGCTTTTTACTTAATTTAAAATTTGTTAAAATTACTCAGTGATAATTGGACTGTCTTGAGTGAAATCAATATTCACTCTCATAACATGTATAATGGAGCAGAATAAGATGGCTCTCTATCACCTATCAGACAAAGATAATGAACAGCCCCGTTTTCCCTGACCCCAGGCTCTCACTGCCCAGAAAGCTTACCGAACTAATAGGTGAGGTTTCCCGGCTGTGCCATGTGGCAGGATCCAACCAGTAATAATCCAAGTCACCTGCACAACAGGAGAAAAATGGGGGGTCATGCTGTCAGGTGGACACGAAACACTGTGACCATGACTTCTTCACTCTGAGGAGTAAAGGGTCATGAACTCCATCCTCTTGACTGTGCACGTCCCAGAATGAGACACACTTGCATCAAGAGGCTGTCTCCTGAGTCTGTGGAATGAACATATTTCACAGTAGGGGAGCACTGCCTTTCACTGTCATAAATCAGTCTAGAGACACACAGATAAGTACGGAGGAACTGGATTAACCCACCCACTTGCCCTCAAACGACCATCTGTCCCAAGGCCCGGCCTGCCATCTAGTGACACTGCCCACATTCTACTCACTGGACTGAGATAAGTACTAAAAACCAGTGTCTCCCTTTCTACTCTTCTAAACTACACGGTATCTCTCAAAATTCCTCTCTGGTCTCTACCCTCTTCCCTCATCAGCTGAACACCAGGACACGCATTTTTACGACATGGTGTTGGGTAATTAAATATCAAGAATAACTTTTACAAACACATAGGGACAGAGATTGGATTGCTGGTTACCAGAGGGGAAGGGGGGAGGGGGGAGGGTGAAAGGGATAATTCGGTACATGTGTGTGTGGTGATGGGTTGTAATTAGTATTTTGGTGGTGAACATGATGTAATCTATGCAGCAATGGAAGTACAATGATGTACACCTGAAATTGTTACAATGTTATGAACCAATGCTACTGCAATAAACAAAAAATTAAAAAAAAAAAAAGAATAACTTTTAGCAAAAGAGTACATACAAACGACAGAGCATTCAGTTTTACTAAAGCCATAAAAAAGACTTTAAAAATCCTAACTTTGTAAACATGAACTTATGAACCTCTAGTTTTTATTTTTTGGCCTAAAAATATAACGCTAAAGAAAGCATCTGAGAACAAAGGAAAACAGAGAAAAGCAGCAGTGCTTTCAGTATCTGCAGAGGAAGAAAGACCCGCGTGGCAACCCACGCGGGAACCAATGCCCTTTTGCACTTAAATATCAGATGAAATCCACGACAACTTTTCTCTCCACGGATCTTGGGAGTGAGGGCAGCACAGCAGCCATCAGGGAACTGCCCCGCTGCTGCCGGGGAGATGCTGGGCTGACATCCACGAAGGCCATAAGTAAAGAATGTTATGTCGATGACATTCATGGTCGATATAGGCACTAGAAAAGAAATGTGATCAAAAATAAACGTGTAAAATCTGCAGGCATAAAAATTTCACACAGTTCAGTTTCTTAGTAGCTGCTTCCCCTTCCTTTAACAGAATATCTTAGAAAGGCTGAAGCAGAATGTTACATACACTACAATAAATCCTAAGATATTCCTCAAATATGCCGTGTAGACAACAGAACACTCCACGAAGGGGTGGATATCAGAAATGGTGTTAGCAGAGACTATATTCTGTTAAAACTTACTCCACTCGGAGCCCACATTCCTCTCAAAATCACGTACTTTAAAGTGTACACACGGCTTGGTAACAACAATTATAGATTCTAATCTCCTACTGGACCACCTCAGTTAATGGAATATAAGGAAAGTTGTAAAAGGAAATTTTTTTCCTCCTTTATTTTTACTGTTTGTAAAACTTCATATGCTTATTTTTAAGTTGCTTTGCCTTACTATTATGACATCGCTCCTCTTGAAAGAAAAACTATTTATAACGATAATAAAATCAAAATTACTATTACATAGTGACTACTGATATCATTCAAAAGATTATTACAATTCATAAAGCTTTCTCCTAAAATTTTACATACTGAGGAACAGGGCCTGAAGACTTAAGTGCTGATTCCCTCTGAAATACTGTGACAAATCAACAGGACCACTGAGACATTCATGTGGCTTGAAGAAGGAAAACCAGTCATTCAGTCAAGGGCTGCTTTGAGAAGTCTTTGAGGTTAAAAAAAATGAGAAAATCCATCCTATTTTAAAGCCTTCAAAAAAACAACGTTCGTTGTATCTTCCAGAACTTGACTTAGATCCTAAAACAGCTCTTGCTGGGACCCCCTTCTGGCTCACGCCCACTCCTCACATGGCAGTACAACCGTGTTTTGCTCACCTTGCCCTGAGTAAATCGAGATATTCACATCTGAGGAGCATCCGCTGTGCACAAAGCGCTCCTTATATGCAAAGAACCAAAAGCTGATGTTTCTGGCACAATTTGGTGATGGTACTGAGCACACTTATTATGAAAACACTGCTTTCAAGCAGCAGTGTCCTATCATCTATAAGCTTCGCAGGATTATGATTGTGAACGGAGAGTCTAATTTAATCAGTTTCACTGGGATAGACATAGTTTTCCAGGTGATTCCAACGGGTAGCCAGCACTAATTCTTACATTATCCTGACAGTCGTAATAGGGATGCTACAGATTTTGCAGTTAAAATTTTTTTTTTTCCAATTTTGGTCATACATAGTATGATAGATATCTACTAAAAATTGCTAATAAATGTAAATGTAAAAATATATTCAATATCTTAGCATGCAATAACAGTTGTACATTTTATATAAAATTGCACTTTCTTCATATTCTGAACAGGTTTTAACAGTTTTCTTATCACCAATTTCATTATCATCCATTAAAATACAACATTTTTTCTTAATGACAAAAAAGTAATTCTAAAATCTAAATATGTAGTTTTAAACTTTGTTTCATCTTTTCATGTAATTACTAAGTTTTAAAGATATTATTGACTTTTTAAGTAGTCTAATTTGTCTTTATAAGTCACATTTCTCTATTATTAATATAATAAACAACACTCAACAAAACTTCCTCCTAAAATATTCAGAATCTAGTATTTCACTACTACGAAGCATTTTCCTTGATTATTTTCCTAGTAGATGATTAAAGATATTGATCACCAGGTGGCATAGCTACAAAATGATAAATTCATGGTATTGGCTTATGAAATTGATATAAAAGCATTTTGGTTCTGATGTTCAATATAACTATAAGGAACAAAAGTACTATTACCATTAATTTAGATCCAGGAAACACCTCAGGTGATTGAGTCCACTGAAATGGCTCAAGTTCGCAGATGGCCAAGTGCAATGAAGTGGCATAATTGTGAGCATCATTTTTGTGAAGACTTTAAAAACAGACTTTTATCCCATCCCTTGTGAAAAAGTAGATTAATTGAACTTATTTTTAAATAAGCACACAACTTTCACTGCACAAATAAAAGTCAGCTAAATGGCACACGAGCCTTCTGTAGAGAAAGAGCTTTTCTAAGCCCTGGTCATTATAATCAGAGTGTGTAACAACAAACACACGCATCTCTGTGATTGAAAATTCTGTATGTCATGACAGCTAATGTCAGAGCACGACGGGTTCCAACAAGACCAACCAAAGTCAACTTAACAAAAATACCTTCTGAGTAACACAGATGCAGGACTGAGCATGTTTGAGTATGTCAAAACCGTGAGGAGAAAACCATAATTTTAATTTCACACATCACATATCTATTTAATAATTCACATGCCAGTTACACTTGACCAAGTTTTAGAAAATTTGGACTTCTCCATGTCCAGAAGAAACATACAGTATATTTGAAACATCATTATAACCACTGGTGATAAAAATGATGGGATTCATCAATTCCAAGAGTGACTCACAGTAACTGCTCACTTTATAATACACAGCCACCACTGCGCTACTCATCTCAAAAAACAAACTGTTCTTCCTCTACACAACAGATTGTTACCATTCAAGAAAATCATAAAAATCACAGACCAAAAATCAGAGGAATCATCCTTCCCAGAGATGACCTACACTTCTTAAAATTTTCCTCTTTTATTTTTATCTTCTATAGCAAGATGTGTGTTGGAACTAAATAAAATTAGATGAATCTTAAGCTACTTTATTACTGCACATAGACAAATTAAAATATTGGTTAAAATATGTTTATTCAACGTCTGTATGCAGTACATATACAAAAGCCAACTCAGTTCTAAAAATGGGATTTTAATTTGAGACAAGGTAGGGTATTTTTAACACTGAGTATGATGGCCAGCACACAAATTAATAAATATTACTCTGGTTATAATGTGATAAAAAACATTTATACACTTTTTTTTTTTTCCTGAGGAAGATCAGCCCTGAGCTAACATCCATGTTAATCCTCCTCTTTTTGTTGAGGAAGACCGGCTCTGAACTAACATCTACTGCCAACCCTCCTCCTTTTTTTTTTTTTTTTTTGCCCCCAAAGCCCCAGTAGATAGTTGTGTGTCATAGTTGCACATCCGTCTAGTTGCCGTATGTGGGACACGGCCTCAGCATGGCCAGAGAAGTGGTGCGTCGGTGCGCGCCCGGGGTTTCCGAACACGGGCCGCCAGTAGCGGAGCGCATGCACTTAACCGCTAAGCCACGGGGCTGGCCCTATACATTTTAATATTTTACAATGACATTCTTTTCATAGGAATTAAGATCTGAAGTCTAAGAACTAAGATTAAATCTTCTAATTAATATAATGAAAATATACCATTTTGAAATAGTTTCCTCGTATTTTAGAAGTTTATTTCAGAAAGTTATAAGCCTGAAAAGGGCAAGTATGTCTGCTCCTTCTCCTAAGTTATATAGAATAATGGAGCTAACTGGAATCAATCAGCAATAATTTGTATAAAATTCCTAGAAAGCCTAATTTCACCTAAGTTAAATTAGCAGCCAGCGACAAGAAACAAATATTATCTAACCGGACTTAGTATCCAGGTATTAAAATAAAATAGGAAGAGACACTTGTTAAATTTAATTTTTAATCATATCATCTGTGAAATAGTAAAGCCTATAAATACACACTATGTGCACAAATACAAAATCAGTAAACTCATTCACGATCGAACTACTGTCAGTCCAAGTTCCCAGCATAGTAAAAAATATTGGTTCTCAAATACTTTTCAGCAATTTCACCGAAAATCCACACCACTGTCCACTCCACAATCTGATGGCAAATGCTGCATAACTAGAACAGGGCTCTGTGTCCCTTGA